ATAATCTCCATCGCCACTTAAAAACACAGTATCTAATATTAAGAGTTGCATGAATTTCATTCAAGGCAAGGCAACTTTATTTACTTAACACATGCAGAGGGTAAATTCAAAGTACATTCACTGACATGATGACATGGATATGGCGCCACCTTGTGTCATGTTTACAATGCCGATTATTGACATTAGGTCTGGCAATACAGTCAATCATTATCCTGGTGATTATTTTGCAGATAAACCTAGTAACCTTAAAAAAAACGGCTCTTTTGAACGGCTCTTTGAAAGGAACGGAGCCATAAGATCCGGCTCCCTTCAAAGAGCCATAATTCCCATCACTAACAGACAGACAGACAGAGAGAGAGAGAGACAGACAGACAGAGAGGGAGAGAGAGAGAGAGAAACAGACAGACAGAGAGAGAGAGACAGACGGACAGACAGACAGAAACAGACAGACAGACAGACAGCACCTGGCAGTGAAAGTGGAGGCTAGAAGGACGGACACGCACGCACGCACGCACGCGCACACACACACACACACACACACACACACACACACACACACACACACACACACACTTTCAATACAAATCCTTATGACTAATTTGGCTTGATTCTAAGTGAACGGGTCAATTTGACCCTGAACAGAAGAGGTGTCTCGTCTCTATTTATCAACATCAACCAATTGGAAAAAAAGTTGGAACATTTTAAAAGTAATTTAAAAAATGTTATGTTATGCAAAACTAATGTATTTTATATCAAGGTTTTTCCAATGTAAAAAAGAAAATAGAAAAATGTGTTTGAATGTATATGTTTTTGTGAAGAACGAGTGACTTATTCTAATGGAACCATGATCTGTGAGAGGTGAATAACACAATTGCACTAAATATTGATTTCATTGATAGTAATAAAAGGTACAAACTATGTACAAAAAAAATCTGGATTTTGGGGCTTCTGACCATTTTTGGATAATTAAACATGCACTGGGTCAAATTGACCCACGAATATTATTGCTGTTACAAAAAACGAATATAACAGGAGGGTTAACAACCCAAAGCTCACCAATATCATTCTCGATATTTCTTTGCAGTCTTCTTTTGTTGCAGCTCGTACTTTGAAATGCATCTTTGTTGCTAATTCTCTACACTTCACTCTTTATCCTGACTTCTTCACTGCCTTGTTCCTCAGAGAGACGTCAAGTGACTACAAACAGTAACCGCGTTGACTTTTTTGCGCTATACCGGAAGTTCCGGCTGGTCAGTTTTCTCCTTCAAAATAAAAGATCAGTCAATTCGTGTAATTTAGGCGTAGGCTCCACGAGGACGAAAACGGGTTGAATCCGCATATTTCTCATGCGTATAGCCCTTTAAGCTCGACGACGCCGTAAGGGAAACGTAGAAACATACCCCGCAAACGACAACGGGTCCAAAGGTGGATAGATCTGGGAACGGAGCGCTCTGGGGGGTCCAACGGGGCCGTGGGGTCGCCTATACGGTCATGCGTTTCATAGCCCCGCCTCTCCCCGCCTCTCCCCACCTCTGCTGCTCACCTCCGCAAAAGTACACTGCACACTGAATTCAGATTATTTATCTTTATCTCGATATGAACATAAACGCGAGTGAAGTCTAATCTGACAGGACGGAGACACGCAGCTCCTCCGGCTGTGAAGCAGCGAGAGCAAAACACACACTTCAAGTCAGATCACCACCCTTAGCTATTTTAATTACCTCTCAAACTACCTAAACTAGTTATAAATATGTTTATTTTTACTGTCGGGTTTACTTACTGGATCAGCTGCTGCATGAGGAAGCATGAAGATTTAAACTTTAACACACATTGACCGGCGAAAAACTCTGCGCGGTTCCCTCGGCCCCCACCCATGGATGTGCCCCCACCGCGGAGAATAAACAGAAGTGCAGCCATGACAACCATTCTTCTTCGCTGCTTTTGTGGAGGAAGTTACAGCGCCACGTACAGGTTCGGCATATGTACTGCAGCTTTTCCAGCGGTTGGATGTAAACGGAGCCGTCTCGTGGAGCTTGACACAATCCGGTGTACAGTGGCGTCGCCTGGCCTGGGCATCCGGGGCTTTAGCCCCGAATGTTTTTTCTGTAGCCCCGGACAATTCTCCCTCAATAATATAATACATTAACCGTGCTTTACGTGAACCTCATCATGACACAAGAGAGGACGGCAACACTGTCATTTCCAGCGACGTGCAGTCAGTGGAGGCAGGGGAGGCAGAGCCTCACCTGTCATACTCCAATGTAACGGAAAAACAACTAAAGAAAAACGAAATAGTAATAATAATAAAATGTCTCCACTGATCTGTGTTGTAAGTGTGATTTCTGTATGATTCTAATCGCTTTTTATAGTCAAAATCAGCAAATTTGCCGAACTCCGCTACGGGAGCGATGACAAGTGAGGCAGGCACGTGCTCTGCCTCTCGTAAGCCCACAGTAACTTGCTGGAGCACGGGCACTAATTTAGCGCGGGCACTTATTTTGTGAGCGCGCTCAAGCCAGTTACCGTGGGGTGAGGTGAGGCACAGATGAGATCTGCCTCACCTCAGAATGCGTCACCCCACAGAAACTGGCTGGAAAGCGGGCCCTAAGCACATGCCTGTTCCCATCTCACTGTAGGTCACCAATGTAATGTATGTAGATCCCTTTATTACATTTATCCTCGCCATCCATAGTCTCTAAATAACTTATTTCACGTATATATGATATTTAGGCTCGCTGGTCTCAACGGCAATGAAAATGCACCAGGGGAGGCAGCCATAACCTCTGCCGCACTGAAGGGAGCGCACGTGAGCCCACAGGTTATTGTTGCTACTGTAATTCTACGCAGAGACGGTAGACGTAACAACAAACTAGACTTTTGAAACTACAGGAAGATAAGGAGGACTTTTACAAAAAAGTAATAGAGATTGTTGTCCAGAAGGATAGCATGGACTTCATCTTCAAGTCAAGGTAAGACCACATTTGTAATGAAAATGGGATCTTACTAAGAAAGAACAATCCAATATTTAGATTTTGGGTATCCTTTTGTTGAACGGTCTGTTTAAAATGAATCGAAGCATCAGACTAAAAAAGCTTTTGAAAATAACCGAATATTTCGATTAAGGTCAAAATATAATATTTGTAAATCTGACTCAGTGAGTCAGTGCCTCACCAGCCATGAACCTCACCGCACGTCACTGGTAATTTCCCGTGTTCAGTGAATGCAACAGAGGCATGACACCAGACCAATCAGAGAGTTGCATGGAAATAAACGTGTGCTTGTGTCATTCAAGCTCGGCTTTGTGTGTGTGTGTGGCAATAGCGCATTTAGTGTGATAGAGAGAGAGAAAGGGAGAGAGGGGGAGGGAGGGACCGCTGCCAGCAGGGACCTGTTGTTAGCATCTGGTTAGCTAGCTGCACTAACGGACATAAGGAGCTGTTTCCACAAGAAGCTGGAGGAGAGTCCTCTCCTCTCAGACTGAGAGACTCAGGTGAGCTAAAGGACTCTCTGAGTGTTTAGATACTTAACTTTAGTCTAAGTTATCTCAGTGGGTCTCAAACTGTTTGGTCACAAATTATTCAAAAGATTATTTCCGCGGCACACCTTCATATGATCATTATAGTTATAAAAAAAATAAGAGAATAAAGGGAAAACAGTTATGAAATACTATATGGCAGTAAAACAAGAATAGAGTTTAAAAGGGGAGTGATTAGTAAAATATCCATAAAGAAAAAGTACATCTGTTTACAGTTCTGTTTCATATGGGTGCTGAGAGAGGTATCCATAGATCTCTTCATTTTGCTCTCAAAGTGCACCAGATTGATGCTTTTAACTTCAATATTTAAAAAGAAATCTTCCCGGGGGAGCATCCCCCCGGACCCCCCTAGAGGAGGTGAGGTCTGCCCCCCACTCATAAAAAATACCACTTTACCCCTGCCTATATGCCGTGAGCTGATTATCGAGCCTTTATTGTAACAGTCGCGGGTGTACTGTGTGTGTGCGTGTGGGGAGTGTTGCAGTAAAAAATGCCACTAGTGCCGCCGCCACTGTGGGCTAAGCCCCGAATGTTTTCAGGCCCAGGCGACGCCCCTGCCGGTGTATATTGCGTGTGGTCGGAAGGTTTTTTGCGGTTGCGTTTGCGTTACTCCGATGCGTTTTGCCGTATTTGTTCTTGTGGAGCCGGGGCCTTAAAGGTCCCCAATTATACTGTTTTTCATCAATATATTATAGGTCTCAGATATATACAAAACCTGTCTCTGAAGTGTTTGGCTCGAAACACCAAACAGATCATTGTAGGGGGGGGGGTTACCTTGGTTGGTGATTGGCTAATGGTTACACAAGCCAAAAAATCGTTATGACATCACAAAGTGGCCAAAATCTGATCAGCTCATTTTCGGACAGGTTTTTATATAAATGGATCAGGACAAAAAGAGAGAGAATCTTTGTTCCTGAAACTTTCAGAATCTTTTTACACAGAGGGGACACATGTTGATGTAGAAAAGACATGAACAAGTGGATTTTGCATAATAGGTGACCTTTAAAAAAAAAAAATGTCTACATAACCCTGTTATTCATTTTAATTGACTATTCAAATTAATATTAGGCATAGACGTTTTGAACACTACGAATAAATATGCAAAGAACGTGTTAAATGGACCACCATTACATGTCATATAGCGCTCCTCTCTGGGAAATGGCACTATTTATATACTTGATAAATAACAGGCTGGTATTCAAGTAATGATTCTGTCATGTGGTAATGTTTTAAAGCAGACACATTCTTTGTACAGAGATACATTATTTCCTTGGCTGACTTTTAATCTTTTGGAGCCTCATTCTCGAGATAGGGTATTCCAGTCTGAGTTGAACATATATGTAAGGACTTTTCAGTGTTATTGTTACTTTTACTGAGGAAAAAGCTATTGGTATTTGCTGACAAAAAGCTACAGAATAATGCATTTCTTAGAATTATAATAGAAATATAAAAACACACCAAGATAGAGAATTTCATACAAAATCTGATTTATTTTAGAGTAAAAAAAGAACATGAAATCAATTTGAATATAAGCTGAAACATCTCACAGCTGGACCTTAGTTTTCATTGGGCATTAACATATTTACAATGTCTAGTCACATTTGCTCTTCATCAGTCAAGAGCTCAGATATTCCCCTTCATACCACTCCAGAGTTTACCCCTTTAAGTTCAACCCAAACAAACCTCCTTGTGTGTTCAGCGGCATCAACACGATAAAAACTACCTATGAGAGTCTCAGTGAGGCGACTGCGTGCTCGCTCCAGGAGACTCCGACCGGTCGAGCTTCATGACTGCTTCTAGAGGGTTTGAGGAAATTGACGTTGGTAGCACCGAGCTCTTAGCCTCCAAAGAGGAAGAGGCAGACGAGGGCAGAGATACAACAATGTACTTCTGCATAGGTCGTGTCCCCGTCAGTCCGGAGCCACCGCCAGGCTCCAGTTTGACCAGAGGCTGCAAGGTGGACGTGGCGCTGGGAACAGTGCTGGTGACTGGGGAGGGGGACTGGGAAGAGCTGAGGGTGATGACCTAGAGGGAAGGCAGAAGGACAGATTTGTGAAGAGTTTTATAGAAAAGGATTTCAGTAAATCTCGTAAGGTTGAACTCGAGACCTATCAGGGTATATGCAGGAATCCTGAAGTCAAATGTAATACCTTTTAAGACCTTTTTTAAGACCCTTTCCATACATTTTAAGACCTCATCGCCACTTTGAGTTTTAACCGGTTACATTGGCGACACACTTTACCTCACATTTACTATATACAGTATTGATTGTCCTTCCTCCTTATCTTCCAACCATTTGGACGCAAACTTGCATTTCCCCATAACGATGTTGTTTAACAACCGGCGTAAACGGACCTTCGCGCGCTATCAAGCAGTGAGCGTGCGATGTCCTGTTCAGATGACGTCAAATCCAACGGGATGCCATAAATAAACTACACAGAATCACACTACACACCTACGCAATGATTACATTCAGGCACACTGTAGAATACAACCTCTTTGGACAATTTATATACTTATTGAAAACAAGCTACAAAATGTAATACCTTGGAAAATGCCGTTTAATACTTTTTAATAGCCTTAATTTTCGCTAAATTGATTTAGCAACTTTTAATACTTTTTAAGACCCCGCGGACACCCTGAATAAGACTACCCTTATAAAGGGTTTACGAGTAGTTTGTAATTCATTTATTAATTAGGTTGTGAACACTTTATAAATCATTAATAAGCTTTTATAAGACATGAGATAAACAGGGCAACTGGGACCGGTTGCTTGCCAAATAGTGAGCCCACATTGATCTGTACTGCTAAGTCTTATATTGGCTACCTAGCTTACTTCATCTTCTTCATCAGCCAGCATCCTTGGTATCTGTTGCTCACTGAGTTGATTCTCGCTAAGTAGCCAATATAAGGCTTAGTCATCTTGCTAAATAGTGAGCCTGTGTTGTAAGGGTAGTCTTATTGTAAAGTGGTACCCAAATATACTTATATACACACACTCAGACACATTTGTACATATGCACACATTAAGACATAAATAAAAGCATAACAATCAATATATACAAAATAACAGTCACTTCAATATCTTTGGGATTTTAGAATAGGCTAGAGAAGGTGCCCTGGGAAGATTACCAGAGAAATGTTGAGATGATTGGAAAACACAATCACAATGAAAGTACCTGCTGGCTTGAGGAGGAACCTGCACTGGTCGTCATCACAATGTACTTTGTTGCCGGGGGAGACGGCTGTGAAGGGGTCCCTGGTCGAGGGGACATCAGGGTGAGAGAGCTAGGGACCTTGATGATGCTGGGAGTGCGCGGCCCACTTTGTGAGACAGTGAGGGTCGGCCGAGGCTGCGGGGAAAGGATTCATCATTCATAAATGAACAGCCATCAATGAAACGCTTCACTTCAACACCTTCAATTTTAAAGGTCCCCTATTTGACTGTTTTTCATCAATATATTATAGGTCTCAGATATATGCAAAACATGTCTCTGAAGTTTTTGGCTCCAAACACCAAACAGATCATTGCAGCATCCCATAATCCTCTCTGTTTCAGCCCTGTTTCAAAAGAGCTGATTCTCTGTCTGTTTCTTTAGATGAAAATAAGGAGCCACTCCCCACGCCCCTCTGAGAGATGGTTACAAAGAACTCAATGGTGCTCTAGGAGGAGATTTAGGTGATAAGGTGGGGCGGGGGGGGGGGGGGGGGTACCTTGGTTGGTGATTGGCTAATGGTTACACAAGCCAAAAAAACGTTATGACATAAAGTGGCCAAAATCTGATCAGCTCATTTTCAGACAGGTTTTTATATAAATGGATCAGGACAAAAAGTGAGAGAATCTTTGTTCCTGAAACTTTCAGAATCTCTTCACACAGAGGGGACACATGTTGATGTAGAGAAGACATGAGAAAGTGGATTTTGCATAATAATCAATGTTTGTATGCATTGAAGGTACCTGTGTGATTGTTAATGTTGTTCTGTTGACTTGTTGAGCTTGCAGTGCTGCTTGAGTCCTGGCCTTCATGACATGGGAGCAGAGCATCGGTCCGAGGTACCCGTAGTCCATCCGATACTGCTCCACGCTGTCGGGCTGAGGTCGGATCTTGGCAATAACACTTGCACAGTGTTTCTTTGAAAACAAAGCATATTTTGTACAAATGAAACAGAATCCCGGTCTGATAGAAGAAACAATTGCTGCTGAATGTCATGTTGTTAAAGTGAAACACTGTGACTTATAGTATACATATTGTATTACCAGTAAGAGGCTTTGAACGTGGTCAGCTCCTATCTTATCAATATTAGAGACCACCGGTCCTTCCATCACTGCTTTGATGCGAGCACCCTCTACAGTAAGCCGAGGAAGGATCAACGTCTTGATGACCTGCGGGGGACAAAATCAGGAGGTTGGTGCGGATTGAATAAAAGGTCACAATGATAAAGACCAGAGGAAAACAGAATGAGACTCACATCCGGTCCGAGTTCAGCCAGTCCAGCGATGCAGCCGTAACGTGTCGTCCACTGGGTTTTGTCATCCAGCCAACTCTGAGGAATCATGTCAGCCTGGTTCAGTATGTGAAGCGTTATATTATATTTATCTAAATGATCCCCCAAAATGTAATGCATCTGTGACTGGAATTTTTCTTCTAAAACTATCACTGGGTATTTGATTTCGCATTTCTTGGGGTCAGGGAAATTGGCAATTTAAAAATATACGTTATCAATTATTACAATTTCATAAAGAATAGAAGCAGGGTTCATACACTTTTTCACCAATGATTTTCAATGACTTCTCCATGACCTTTACCTAATTTTCCATGTCCAAAAAAATTACTCTTTCTCAGCGGTACCACTGAAAATGGTTTATTTTAACATGGAACAGGAAAATAAGGTCTGCATATGAAACATGTTGTGCCTATCTAAAACAAATCAAATAGGCTTACTAGCTTCTACTAAAATCTCTCACCAGCAAAATACCTCGACAGTTAAATGCCATTTTACGTTTCATTACTATACAGTATTTATTATCGTTATAGTATTACTATTTCGGCAATTAGATCAAATATAAATTATATTTGATGCAACCTTAGTTACATTTCCATGACTTTTCCAAAACTTTGGGAAAAATATTGTTTTCCATAACTTTTCCAGGGCCTGGAATTAGCATTTTGAATTTCCATGACTTTTCCAGGTTTTTAATGACCGTAAGAACCCTGAGAAAGCCTTTTTTCGTCATTGTGCATAATACATCAAAATTAGAAGTGATATTCCTGATCAGTGCAGTTAAAAGACACAGAATATAAACAGGGAACACACAGCAAAAACGTAATGTAAAATAAATAAATACAATGTAATTGTCCACTAGCATAAGAGTAGAATCAGAGTAAATCTTATTATTGAATTATTATGATCAAAAGACATTTCACGGCCCAAGTGACCGATTATCTAGAACCTGACCGTATTAACTCAACTTGTCTGAAACTCAATATTTTGTGAGGAAACAATACAACACAATAACCCACCTTAGTAAAAGTCTTGGTGATTCGGGACTGGATGTTATTGGTTGTTGTGCTGAAGGTTTTACAACTCTGGGCCATGAGGCGAGCGGCGAAGTCTCGTAGAGCCCAGTGGTTGTCCACATCTGGTCGCAAACACAGCTGCTTACTCACAATACACGTCACCACAGCTGGGATGAGCTCATGCAGCTGCAAATACAGATAGAAATATGTAACGTTAGAATAATATACTGAGATTATACTCCACGACTCGACCACGGATGAGCGGGAGAAGATGGATGGATATACTCCTTAAAAAAATATTATAACATTTTGTTTTCTGCACTTACGTATTTCTCCAAATACAGCGTGGGGTTGTCCATGAGAGCTTTGACCATCCGCATGAGATAGATGAGCAGAGCCAGGTTGTTTTGCACCACATTGACACGAACCTTTAATGAGAGCATACAGTCAGTATATTCAGCAGAGATACACTTATTGATTATTTGATACGAGGGGAATGATGTTTGGGAAAAGATGCTTACTCCTTCAGAGATAAATGTACTGAATCTTGGAAGCATCTGATACAGTCCAGGATCTGTAGCAATGCTCTGTAAAGCCTCCTGAAAGAGACAAGAGGAAACATGCCAAACAAGGTTAAAACTACCGGTAGATCATTTTGAAAATCAATTATGTTATTGCGCATTTCTCTTATGTACATTGCCTTGTTTCTTATGCTGCTGCAACGCAAACATTTCCCAAATTGGGATCAATAAAGTACCTATCTATCTATCTATCTATCTATCTACCTATCTATCTATCCATCTATCTATCTATCTATCTATCTATTCATTCATTTTACTGCAAAAGTGTTCCCATTTTTTATAGCTGATTAATAAAACGTACGATCTCTTAACAAAACAAGAAAAAGGTAATAGTTTCTTTACTCAGCATGTGTGTAATAAAACATGTATACAGAAAGGCCGGACTTACAGCTCTCTTGGCTTCACAGGAGCCAACACAAGCTTCTGTGATTTCCTTGTAGTAGAGCTGCTGTTCCACAGAGAGCTCATGGGTGCTGCGAGGCTTCAACCTTATTAGACCCTTATCCTTTCCTGAAAGAGACAGAGCATAATGGGGACGAATTAGGGAGGGAAGAAGGAAGCAGTTTGGCAGAAGAACTATATAATGTAATATAACATAAGAGTCTGACCTTTGCCATCAGCAGCTGTCATCCCCTTGCCATGAATCATACCCTCCTCCTCCTGACCAGGTTTGACCACTTTGAGCGGCTCTGTCGATTCAACCTTTTGTTGCTCTTTTGGTGCTGAAATGCAACAACAAAAAACCCCAATTTTAAAATCTTTCATCCAAGGTTTTTAAGTGTCTTTTATAGAAAAGATTCTAAACAAGGCTTACCTGGTGGTGGATTTTCTGGAATAGAAGGTTGCACCCCCTCGATGCTTAACCAGTGGGCTGTGAATAAGTAAACAAGTATGGTTATACAAGGTTTAAGTAAAGAAACAAAACATGTTTTATTCGGGAGTATAAGGGCATGTAATAGTGATGATATGGATACCTTTGAGGGACACATCTAGGGGAACTCTGGGCAGCGGCGTGTTAATAATGTCACTGAGGTCGACTTCCTTTTCCTCATAGAAATGAAGCTCTCTCCCACCACCGCTTGCAAAGCGAAAAGGGATAAACTCTTGGGTCTGGAACCCATACAGCGGCTATAACGAGAGGAATTTAGTCGCAGTTAGTTAAGACATTTAAACAAATCAAAAAGGCACCAGCATCCATTCAGTGGTGCTTAATCAAGTGATAAAAGTTCTCCCTTACCTCCACGTTTTTTAGTTTGAGAGCATTATCTATGTCACTGGTGGTTAATTTACGTCTCTTTCCATGATGCATGAATTTGAGCGCATCCTAGGTAGAAAAAACAAAGTAAAGAAATCAAACAAAATGTAAATATATAGCTAATTTATCACAAAGACATTCAAGATTGTGGTTTCAGAGCAGTTGGCAGAACCACAAGAAAAGTGTCTGCTTCAATCATCTGGGATTTACCTGTGCAATTTCCTTTATTCTGTAGCTGACTTCTTCACTCAGGGCCGCGCAGCTTTCCTCCTGCAGCTGCCCCACTCCCACAGACTCTGCCATGGCCTTCATGGACTCTGTGGGCACCGTGACCGTGCACTGCTTCGGCCGACGTTCCTCCGCCATGGCTACAAAAAGTTCACAAGTTTGTAAATATCACTCTTCACAAAAATACAATCTAATTAAAAGCAAACTATTCCACTTATTCAGGAGACAGCCGTGTTCTTCAGGTACAACATTAGAATAGATCACTGCCATTAATGAACACTCAATGGGTCTGAAGCCACAAACAGCATTCATGACGTTACAGTGAAAGCCTTGATGTAGTTGTGAGACAAACATTAAATATAACCTTTAGTCTACTTCTATAAGCACCATTGTAAGGAAGGGGCTGCAGGTTTTTATTGCAGGGATTATCATATGGAGTGGGTGTTTCACTGAAGTGTATGGAAGGTTTACCAAATGACAGTTAATGTTGCCTTGTATAAAATCTCTGTAAGAGACCATGTGGGAAACCCAATACATGAAGTGGAAGACGTGTCTATGGTCTAATGAGATCAAAATTACAAATCAAAAGAATGTGATATTTGTCATAAACCAAGCACCTCTTTAAGATAGATAGATGCTTTATTGATCCAAAATTGGGAAATGTTGTTACAGCAGCAATGTGTTCAGGCATTACACTATTTAAACAACAGTAACATATATACATGTCAGTATATAAATGACAGTTATGTAAAGTAGCTGTTGCAAAATGTTCATATTTATGGAGAGGGAGAAACTAAAACTATGGGGCAATAAAGCATGTTTCATACATGGTGACATAAATGAAAGAGGAAAAGAGTAATTCGTTTTGATAATGCAAAGGGTATTGGTTTCAAAACTCAAAATTACAGTTAATGGAACTTTCTGGAAAATAGTGAAGTGTCAATATGTTGCACAGACGGAAGGCGGAAAGCTGCCTCAAAAGACTTTTCGCTCATCAATGCCCCAAATTATGACAAATATCCACTTTGATTCAATAGTGTATCTTGTTTATAACTCAACATGAAAAGGTCCAGGGGATAAATGCATTTTTACAATGGTTTTATATACTTTAAGTGTGTAAACAAACACTGAGCTACACAGAAAGCGGGTAACCACTTTGACGGATAACAACCAACTAGCTTCATACACCACTCAAGCTACATACAAAGTATATTCAATCAAACGCAACAAAGTTATGCAAAAAATAAAAACAGCGTTCGTTTTAAATTCATTCAAACCAATGCATGCTTCTTTAATATTAACTTTCAGTGAGATGGATTTGATAAACGTTAGCTTGCATGCTAACAACTTAGCTTCCGTTGACATTTTACCTGTGTGAAGTTGTCCTCTCCCTTCTGAATTTAAGCAGGAATGTACACGAATAAAACCAGGCAATGTTAAGATTTGAAATAATATTTTCTTCGCAAAGCTAATTTTTCTCGATGAATATCCATCTCTTGATATAAATAACTAACTCATTTACGAATTGGAGCTGGGACCACCGCTCGTGAATTAGCGCTTATGTTCCATCGCCATTTTGAGTCACGTTCAGGGTTTGATCTCGCGAGACTATAATTGAGGAAATCACAGACAGAGCATCCGTTTGTTTGAAAAGTAATTTATTACAACTCGATTAAGTCACCGTTTTTTTAAATCTTAAATTCACGAATAGTACACTTGAATAGTAATACTTATATCAAAACTTAATTAAATGCCAGTTCGAACTACGGGACTCCCCTCCCTTTATACAACAGTCCTCCCCGGTGTCCGGACCGGAACCAATGTTATCCTCGAGATTACGGGGGTGACTTTATGGTGTAGCACCGGAGACAAATGTCAGGAGCGTGGAAGGGCATTGCAAGAAGCAATCATGTACAGATTTTTATTCCGGACTGTTTACACGGCTCGAAAGTCTTCTGTCCATGTCTATGAGGCGTGTGTGTTGCCAGCTAAATGTGACAAAGCTGCAGTTTTTAGGTGAGTGAACAGTACATATGATAAATTACAGCGTGACTGATGAACGTCCGCAACTACATAACAGGTCGTTAAGGAGTGTGTTCAGTTTTTGTCAACTAGATTATAATGTGCATTTCCAAATAGGTAGAAAATGTGTTCTTCTTTCCATAAAAGCTAACGTGTAAACTATTAGCTTATGATGGTACGGGACATTTCTGTGAGCATTGGTAGGTGTATAGGAACTATATTTTATTTAAAGGTCATAATAACATTGTATTGCACCCCATGTCCCATTCAAAGCATCATATAATTAACAAGAGTACACTCTTTTTAGCACATAATACATTGTTGTGACATTCTCATACATGGTTTTATAGAATCACAATATTTTCACCCCATTACAATCGTTTCATGTATACATCATGTGTGTATGTAACCTAATTCATGGCAATATATGTGCATAATTCTAATGGTGTGTGTCTCTATGTCCCTATGTATGTATTCATGTTAATCTCTGTGTATATGTTCCTGTATCTGTGTGCATGATCAGAGATCAGTTATTTTAGGTTTGACTTGTTTAAACTTTCAGCCAGTGTTTCACCTTTAAAAAAAGAAAGAAAAGTTTTCAGATCAGTTTGGGTTTCTATTTCCATTGGTAGGTCATTTCATATGTGTATTCCTTTCACAAAAACGGAATCTAAGGAATATGGTTCAAGTGACCCCCTTGTGACAGCCTGGATAACCCAACATCTCACTCACTTTGCTCAGTATTTCACTGGGTGAGAACAGGAAGTGTAATTGTAGCCTAAGAGCTGATTTTCTACTTTTTGTATTGCATTTTGTAGTATTATTATTACTCAAACTTGTTTTCTTCCTTACGATTCACACACGTATGATGATTAACTTAGTTTTCTTCTCTTTAATATAGGTTTGCAAATGGAGGGGGAGTCAAAGCCCTCAGCACATGTTCTGTCAGGCTCTGTGAAAAGAAAGACAATGTTGCCTCATCTATTGAAGAGGAGAAAACCCTTGCAGAAAAACCAGTCGACCCGACAGAAACACCAACTTTGGTGACACAGAAAGCTGAAGATGACAGCAAAGTCATCAAAATGGAGGAACAAAGGGAGGAGGAGCCGGTGGTGTTGAAGACGGAGGATGAAGGTACGACGCAGCAGCAGGTGGATGTTAAAACTGAACAGGTTGAGGCAACACCAGCAGAAGTGAACACTGTGGCAGCTAAGAGTGGGAAAGACAGTCTCCTTGATATTCTTGGAGGCATGAAGGTGGTTGTAACCAGTAAGAGGAAGCTCAGAAACTTGAATGCGTGGGAAAGCCAGGATTCTACAACCAACTCAAAGCCAGCAGCTATGGAGAGCACCATCAGTATGTTTCAGAAGGCCACCAAGGAGGCTTCATCCCCGAGGTGAGAGGGGGGGTTGAAATGTATGGCATCACAGCAGCAAAGGCACAGTGTAGATTAAAGTAGAAGGAGTAGACTTGCATAGAAAAAAAAGTAGCAGTTTTCTTTAAAAAGTCACTATATACACATGTCAGGTTGCATTGCCTTGCTGGAGCGCATGTTTCTTTAATGAATTTGGTCTTTTTACAACCAAAGTTCGATTGTTTGACCTTTGTGCCTTCACACTTTGAACTTACTTTACACCCTGATATTGATGATATCTGGTGTGTCTTTCACCATCTTCTTTTAATGAAGTATGCCGCCTTCTTCCTCTTCTTCTTCTTAGTGAGACTCTGGATCCTCAGCTGGTTGCCGCTGCGTCTGCTGCTGCCTCCACCCTCCCCGACAGCAGCCAGGCCGCGTCGGAGCTGCTCCGCCAGCTGAGGCAGCAACAGACCGTCACTGAGGCTCAGAAGAAAGGGGACATGAACAACCTCGGGTATGTATCCAGTATGTTAATGTTAATGGGTAATTATTTGGCTTGTGGTAGGGCTGTGTGATTATGGCAAAAATCATAATCACGATTATTTTGGTCAATAATTGATATCACGATTATTAAACACGATTATTCATTGACTTTGAAAACATCCATTTATTGAACTTTAAAACAAATACAAATAATAATTTGAACAGTATCTTTTTAACTGTTGATTACCCTGAACGTATAATTCAACTGAAAAACTAATACAAAAATGATTAAATAAATGATAAATATACATTTACATTTAAATAAATAATATCAAAAATAATAAATACCAATAAACAAGATCAACAAATATTTTGGAGCGCACTTCCACAAGCTACTAAACATATATAAATATAAAAATAAATGAGACAAAAATGAATTGGATCAAATATGTTGCAGTGCACTGTCACAACCTAGCAAAACAAAATAATCGTTTTTTTCGATTATGTTGTTTTCGTAATTGTGGCAGGCCAAAATCGTAATTGCGATTAAAATACGATTAATTGCACAGCCCTAGCTTGTGGTATTGTTTTCTATATTTGTACGCAGCAGCAGCTTTTATATTTTATGCTCCACAAATCTGGAGTAAACTTCCTGAACAGCTGACGTCTGCCCCAACAACGAGATTGTTTTAAATCAAGGCTAAAAACCTTTCTTTTTATTGCTGCATTTCCCAAAGGTCAATTCAATATATGTTGTTATTATATTTCTGCACTTCTTGCAGCATCATCTGTATTTACAGTATCGATGTTAAACAACCTTCTATCCTCAATAAACAAATATTTAACATTGACCTTAAATACGTTTGGGGTAAATTGTTTTATATGAATATTGGTGTGAAAATTAAGCAGTTTCATTATTAAAAAGTCTCAAATGTGATATTGTTTTTTGTGTTTTCATTCTGTATAATGGAAAACAAAAGGCATCAGTCTAAATGAATCCAACAATGTTTTTCTCAGAGACATCATCGCTGACATGAGAGTAGGAAAGAAACCCAACTGGAAGCATAGCACCCGGCCGGTCAATCAGATCCAGTTTGATGACGACGGTCCAGGATACACTCACGAAAAAAGAATCAACAAAGAGCTCGACAGTTCTCGGAAAAAGTAAATATCTCATCACATCTTTACTCGGGCAGCTTTTAAAATGGAACATATGCTTGAGATCTGTTTGTTTTTGTTTCTTTAGGAAGGTCTATTTGTCAGGGCCAAGGCTCAACATCTTCCGTCACACTACTGATAAAGATGGAGTTGAATCAGCAGTTGGTAATAAGCTATTTTTATGTTGTATTAAGACTGTTATTATGTATTAACTGCTTGCTTACAGTGGCTAAATAAATTGTGTTATTTGTGTATATCAGAGGTTTTCATAGGAGGGCTCTATACGTTTTTAGGGGAGGCTCAGTGTAAGTAACACCACGTAGAAAGAGATAGTTAATAGAGAGAAATACGTTTGAGGGAAATGTTATGTTTTTCAGATTCAGAAACAAAAGGAAGTCATAGGAAATACCTTTTTTCTATTTGTCCGTTATGACAAACATCAATATTAGGGTATCTTGGCTTAATTCTCGAGTGTCTATGGCATCAAAAAACAATGATGATCCCATAGGCATCTATGAATTGGGCAAAACTAAATAAGTAAACTAAGATGGGAGTCGAGGGGCTTCTTTTTACCATGCTTTGTATGAGGGGAGGCCCTTAGAAATAACTGTTGTACTGAAAATAAGGCTTCAATTGTGCTTATTGTCATTGGACACCATCAGGGTCTTGGTCTCTCCTAAACAGTTTTAATGTCCCAATGAAAGAGCTGTTGAAATGATTAAGGACTTCTGCCCATAACGCTGATGTGACTCTTCCACAGTCCGGCCAACTTTATGGGACATTGTTTTGGCTAATGATCTGTCTCTGAGCACCGAACAAACACACCGCAACGGGCTGGAGGAGATGATCCAGTGGACCAAAGAGGGGAGAATGTGGCAGTACCCAATCAACAACGAAGCTGGTGAGTAACACGTTTCAAAAAAAGAAAAAAAGGCAAATATACAGAATGAATGATGTAGTCAGCACAAAATGATACTCTCACGCAGGTTCACTCCGGTGCTACACATTTGATTTGTTTCAAGATTTCTGAACCAAACCGAAGATCACCTTCATATCTACACTCGCCATTCGGCGCGAATCACACTTTCTTTACTGAAACTCTCCTTCTCCTCCGTGCTCTCGCGAGACTTGACGTCACACTCATACACACATCATAAATGCACTTTGTTTGTTACAATACTGACACCTGCTGGTAATCTCCCAAAACATGTTAGCAATATTGTCTATGAACATAATCATTTTAACACAACAAGTTATGTTCCTAACCACAAGCAATACGCAACAGCAGCATATCATCTTCTACTACTGACGTTTAACTACTGAATAAACCTGAATAATACGACTGTATGCCACAATGACAGAATGACACTGACTGTTTCTTCTTACTCTCTGTTAGGACTTGAGGAGGAAGCCAGCGTCCCGTTCCATGAGCACATCTTTTTAGAGGAACACTTGCAGGAGGGTTTCCCCCGACAGGGACCGGTGCGTCACTTCATGGAGCTGGTGGTGGCCGGTCTGTCCAAAAACCCTTACCTCACAGTCCAACAGAAGAGGGACCACATTTCCTGGTTCAGAGACTACTTCCACCAGAAAGAGGACGTCCTGAAAGAGGCTGAAGTTTACCTCAACTGAGACAATTGCGTCTGTTTTCAACATTTGTTGAATGGGGACACATAAAAGTAAGACCTGTTCACTCAGCGGGGCTTTGCAACTACGATCATCTTTACCATTTCAGTTGGATTTTATCACTTGCAGGAGGCCTGTTGAAGTGGCATCAAGTCTGTGTCCTGGTATCTACTGTTTCTAAAATGTTGATCAGAGTTCTATAGAACCGCTGTTAAAAAGGCTGCATTTATAGATTGATTGTACAAAGTATACAGAAAGTTTAAAAGAGCAAAAACCCCACGGCTTATTTAATTTTATTCCAGTTAGTTACACACATTTACTGCATCACTGGTGATGTATTTAACCTTTACTTTCATAATCCAATGCTTATGCAGGCGATTTACTGGCTATGATGTTTCAATAGTGTGGTGACACAATAAAATAAAAATGATTTGGATTTTTTTGTATCGTGAATACCGTAATGCTTATATCTATCCAGTGGTTGTTGTTGTGATACACACAAGTAGCAAGTGATTAACTAGCTTCAAATATTGTTTTAAATAATTTTCTATCAAGGCACGTTTGCAGATTTAGGCTTCATTAAAAAAAGCACTGGACCCTTAAGTTGAATTGAGGTTTAAGTCATTCAATTTCAAAGGAAACTGGTGGATGAAAATATTTTTGTACTCTTTTTGTGTGACGGGTCAAACAAACACCTTTGATCGTGATTGATGGTGTTTTTGTTGGCAGGCTGTAATACAAGTGTAACTCATGTGCACAACCTAGGACCTCAGATCGGGTTTACAGTAGGAGCGTAATAAGACCTTGAACCTCGTGCCCTCTGCAGGGGAAGTGCTTTTAAAGTTAAAAAACATGTTAACAATGTACGGCACAGATTCCATCTGGTCTAAAAACACCCTCGGTAATCTATTGTCTGAGAACGTGTGGAAAACGAGAGCTTGACAGTTGAGAGTGCCTCGTTTCCACATTTTGTTCACTTTTCCTTAAACACATGATTGGCATGATAAGATTTTGGCAACACTTCTCTTCTTTTATGTGTATGAAGTTTCCCAATAAGACGTTTTTGAGTGTAAGGAAGAGTCTTACGCACAAATAACCCACTAGATGGCGCTGCTGACAGCTTTGGGACATGTGAGGGTAGGTTTTTTTAAACACTTTACAACAAAAATGGGATATTTCAAAAGAAAAAGTCTACCCTGTGCAGTAACTTGTCCGTACTTTATCAAAACCTTTTGTCAATTGAAGGGACTGTTTCTGATGTCAAAATCATTAAAAAGTTAATTGCCAAACACATTATTTAAGGTTTATTAAAACAATATATTTGTTGGAAATTAATCAAATATCCAGTTTATACATAACTCTCTCTTCAAGTAATGTCACATCTGTAGATAGATTTTTCCTATTAAAAACCACAAGGGACAAGGTGTGTGATATGTATCAATCTTGGATGTTTTGGTGTGACTTGGCTGTAGAGAAGATGTATGCTGAATATAACAAAACTACATGGAACTTGGCTTGTGGTGCTCAAAGGGAACAAATGCATATCATTTTAAAGTATTGTCTTTCACACAGCAACTCAAACCAAAGCAATCTAGATTGAAAAAAACGTGTGAAAAGAAAAATATATAGTTTTGATTTTTAGGCAGAACTATTTCTTTAACTTAGGATAAAGACTTTATTTGTGTGTATATTTGCAGGACATCATGAGTGTTTGTGGTCTACAGCTCCTCATTACTCTAAAAAACCACGAAGAGTATAATGTGGTCTAATTCATAATTTCTTTAGGAAATTATTCAAGCTCAACTTCCCCTTGTAAAAAAACCATTGTGCATTTATTTAACACGGGTTCTACTTGCCACTAGAGCATTTGAACGCACCTTCAAGTTGTATGAGCAGGATGACGGAGCCTGTGTGTGGTCTTTGAAGGCAGCATCACACTCACTGTCACTGACAGTTGAGAGTAGAGACCAGTCGGTGCAGGATGGTGTGACTTCAGTGAAGACTTTGAACCAAACATTTATCCAACTTTTAAATTGCAAACCTCTTGTCTTGTCTGGTGTGTGTGTGGACCTTTATATATACAGTCTATGGTGTGGACGCAAAACCACTTTTACCTGTTGATTTCTTCCCCCCCATTACTTATTTTTGTATGCGAGTGTCTGTGACAGTGAGTTTTTGACACAGGCATGGCTGAGGTACCGCAGCCGGTCGAAATAGACCCGGAATTCGAGCCTCTCTCCCGGCCGCGGTCCTGCACCTGGCCGCTTCCCCGCCCGGAGCTCAGCGACCCGGCCGGCTCCAACACCTCCTCCCCGGCCCCCTCAGTGCAGCAGGAGCCCGGAGGAAACACCGACTTCATCAGCAGCCTCGGCTTGTTAGAGGAGGACTATGAAGAGTATGCGGAGCAGAGTGACTTTCAGTGTCGAGAGGGGAATTGTGTCCCTCCACAGCAGCAGCACCACCTCCATCCCCTCCAGCAGCAGCCGCCGCTCCCCGGTCCTCAGATGCCCGCTCAGCAGGTCCCCTCTCCGGGCGTCGCTCCTCCTGGCAGCAGCACCTCCGGACCGAGGAAAAGCAGCTCGTCCCGCCGCAACGCCTGGGGGAACATGTCGTACGCCGACCTGATCACCAAAGCCATAGACAGCTCACCTGAGAAGAGGCTGACTCTGTCTCAGATTTACGACTGGATGGTGAAGAACGTGCCTTACTTCAAGGATAAGGGAGACAGCAACAGCTCCGCGGGCTGGAAGGTGAGTGAGTGTTTAAGGGGAAGAAGCTGAGGTGCGTTCATGGTTGAGATGTAACCATTTAACGCCAAACCAAAAGTATAAACATAACATTAACACACGTGTCATTCAATGCTGTAACTTAGCAGCACACCTGCACAATACTTTCCAAAAATACTTAAGTTGCTGAACACTTTGGCAAACTTTCTGATGCAGTTTTTCAAAAATGATTTTACTTTCTTTAAATACATGCTATTTAAAATTAAATAGCATGTAGATTAGTTTATTCTGCAGTAACTTAACTCTAGCTAACACTCAACAGAAGTTGGCTAAGATAAGATTTACTTTATTGATCCCAATTTGGGAATGTTTTCGTCACAGCAGCAGTACTGTAAACAAGGCATTGAACATAATATGAAGATGAAAAAGGGTAGTAAATAAACAAACATAAACACTAGATATAAACAAATCAAAATAAGAAAATAAAACAAAACAAAAGTAAAATTCATAATGACAGTGAAAGATATAAATCTGTAGACTCGAATACATGCATTAACATTAAGTGTGCAAAAAATTGCATTTCAAAATCAAATATGAATGTACAATGCTCAGTGTGAAGACAATACAGATATGTAAATGATGGTTGTTGAAGGGGAAAGTGTTGGAGCAGTTAGAAACAGGTTTCTATAATATTCTGTTCAATATTCTCCATTATAGGGAATTTAAGAAAGCATTCTGAAATGTCGCAGACAACAGTAAATAACAAAAATGAATGATGGCTGAAGTCCATGTGTTTTGTACCTGTTTTTTCCTACTCGCCAGTCAGTGTTGTCACAGCAACTGTTTCCCAAAGCAGCGAAAATACCTGGTGTGACCTCACTCAATGTAATGTGGTCAGTCTGTCATGATGATGAACCAGACAGAGCACTTTTATTACTTTGCATGTGCATTTCATGCTCTGTACTTTTATGTCAAGCCAATACTTGTTTGCCATTCAGTGCTTTAGGTGATCATTCATTGGAAGTATCTTAGCTTACTCATATTTATTAACACAGGTTTCAAAAACAGTCAATAGTGTCATCATATTTATTCTTTCTTAGTGTCTATAAACTGTCTATATTTAGTGTATTACATTTCTATACTTCGGGGGGTAGTGTTTATACCCATTTCTACTGCCACACTGTATATCCTCAGTACTCTGAGCCATGCATCTATTTTAATCTAAAACTAATGAATACATGAAAAACAATACTTGTTTCTTTGTCTATAATTTAAAAACTGCTCAGTGGTTGCTCTTGAGTTTGGCTTCTGCACTTTGGCTTGTTAGTAACCTTTGAAGTGTTGGAGTGGTTTCCTCTGTCAGCTATAGCACACGCCTCTCTGCTGTGTCAGTGAGGAAACATAAAGCTCTGAAGCAGCCAGTAAATCTTGCTGTAAACATCCCAAACATCCAGAATAGTTCTCTCTGTGTGGGAACAATCTATCCATTACAAGCACAAAACATACTGACTCATGGACTATGCAGCATTTCCACAGTCATGGAAAATTTGGTACAGTCCTGGAATTTTACAAAGCTGTGCTTTCTGGCCCTGGAAATATCTAGCAGGGAAAAGCAGGAGCCTAATGCCTGTGCAAACATGCTAATCTGGGTCTTAATAACGTCTCGCCGGGGTAAGGAAGTTACTCAGCCATGATGGATAGAAAGTAACTGAGGACAGAAAAAGTGAAGTAAACGTTAATGAAACAAGCACACTCTAAAATAATTTCTGATTTCAGATTTGTAGCCCTTCCTGTAACCCTTGCATTCTCACGAGACGTACATTTGAAGTTATGTCAGGAAATGCCTTTGTGAACCTCAATCAATTATAGTTTCAATTGTTCAACAGCCCTTTGTGAGAACTTGATCACAGCTTCTGACTTATGGCTCTGGTTAGCCTCCTTTTCCTTCTTTTCTTCATCTCTCTGCGGTTCGTTATTGGCTACATGTACAGTCGGTGCAGTTGCTGGTGGGAGTGCAATGGGGTTTTGGCCAGGGGAGCAGCATGGAGTCAACTGTTTCAGGGCTCTCCCCCTGACAATAACAGGAGGCGACACAAACAGCTCAATCAGTGTTGGGGAGTGTGTCGGAGGGGAAGGGGCTTAGGAGAAGGGAATGCTGGGAACAACGTCAAACATCCTCCATTCCTGAGCTGTGCGCTCATATCTTTGTGTCCCTGTCTTCTAGAGTTTCCTCAGCGGATGCTGCAGCTTGGAGAAAGGGATTGCTGCTCTTTATCCTGTCACTTCCTCCTCTGCCCTCTCTCAAGCCTTCTGTTGGAGGTGTTTGTTCGAATTGAGCACTGAGAGTTACACTTTTCAAAGGGCCAACTGCACCTTTATGCACCAAGATATTTAAATATGCGAATATATATCGACACAACTAACAATAGCTTCAGCAATCAATTCAATCCAACCAGACATTCAAACTACCTCAGCAGACAGCTTGCTCTAATCCTCCGCTGTACTCCACTCTACTGCTACTTAAGTTTGGACACAAATTGGATATCTGAAATAGAAATCATTTTATTAATACTTTAGCATTTAACTCTACATAACAGTCTTTTTTGCTGTAGCCACTCTTTGCATCGTGTGCCATTCAATAAAGCAGCAAATCCCTCTTTGACAATAGCACAAAGCTGTTTATATTAAAACAACCTCTGCATTCCTGAATGTTGGCATGCTTCGTTGGGCTTCGGAACCACCGGCTGATAGTTATTTTTACACTTTCCTGTTCAGAAAACACGACAGTCCCCCCCACAATGAACTATGATGCATTTCCTGCAGAGTGGATGGAAAACAGTGCCATGTGTTAACATCCCCGCCCTGCAAAACACGAGGGTCAGGGCTGGAAAAAGAGGAGGACCCGACAGGAGAGGCCAGACATCGATAAATCATGTTTGTGTCTAATTCTATGTAAAGTCATTTTATTCCATTCCCCGCCATATGCTAAAAGAAATCATCGACCTGGTTGTTATGATCTTTTGTATCATCATGTATTGACTTTACTATCCGCATACATGATTGTAATGTAAGATAGAGATAAGCCAGAGACCTCATGGTGGGTGGAGGGCGTTGAGTTTGAACCTCAGTGATTATACAGCTCCACCTAAATAACTGAAGGTGGGTGGAGGGCAGGGCGAGGGCAACGCTGCTGCAGCTATACTGTAGCTTCCTGTCTCCCTCATGTCATGGAAATAATGTTTTGTTTCCCTCCAAAAATATTGCGGTGATCATGACGCCTCTACCACAAGAGAGGGCCCCTGCCAACTGGGAGGACTGGTTCCCATGGGGTGTTGGTGGGTCTAAAGAGTGGCAGTGTGCAACATGCAAGGGTACTTTACCATCTTACTGGTAATGCCACTGTTTTTCTCAGCGAACTGTGACCTTAAATAACGGAACAGGAAGCAGCACTGCTGAGTAGTTAACCTGGCGCAGAAGAACTGAGGTGTTCATTCGCAAACATCTAAGACCGTTTTTTAACAGCACTTTTCAAAGGTCATGAAGTGCGTAAAGGCCATATCGTGCTGAAGCAGAGTCCTAAAATCCGGATATCAGTTCGCATTTTTGCAGTTCTGGGTTCCTTGATTTAAAGATATTGATGTTTTTTTGTTAGTATTGTTAAATGACTGAACCAAGGGGGGTTAACACAAGCTTAAGATACTTTAACATTTGGTTCTACAACATCAAGTATGTTAGTAAATACCCAATTTGTACGTTTTTTTGTGTCTTAACAAAAGACGTCTGCTTAAGTGTCCCTATTCTGCTCATTTTCACGTTCATATTTGTATTTTGTGATTCAACTGTGACATGTCTCCATGCTTTAATGTTCAAAAAGCTCTTTATTTTTCTCATACTGCCTGTGCTGCAGCACCTCTTTTCACCCTCTGTCTGAAACCAGAGCCCAGTCTGCTCTGATTAGTTAGCTAGCCGGCTCTGTTGTGATTGGTCAACCGCTTAGAGATGTCCCGCCCTTTAGTACATCACGTACAATGTGTACAATGTTGCCAATAGAAGCATGAGTGTTACATAGTGATATCACTATGTTGCAGAAGTAAACAAAGGGGTCCAAAGGAGGCGTTTCAGGCAGGGGGGAGAATGTGTCGGAGAACTTTTTCCTTTAGCCATTGCAGACCTACATGCACAACAAACCTGTATAACACTCTATAGGAGAGAGAAAACCCCAAAAAGCATAATAGGGCCTCTTTAATGAGACTGCAGATGTTGTTGTGGACATTAAACGTCATTAGGCCAAACACTAGTCTGCCTTAGCTTAATGGTGTTGACGTTGAAGTCATGTGGCTGAAGTGTAGTTTGTTTGTAGCCGTTTTTTTTGGCCTGGTGATTGCACAAACCCTTTCCAAATCATAAACATTGTGTAAACGTGGTTTATCTTGCTCAACAAAATATGTAAGTATCATAAACTTCTGTTTGAAACAATAAACAATAATCCGAAATCCAGTAGAAATTGACCTTTTGACCAGGGAGCCAGAGTGATTTCAAAAATACTTCATCTCTGAAACTCTCCATTGGATTGTAGTCCATTTAGGTATTTACATGTATCTATGCAACAGATAAATACACAGTTCTGTGACCGCCTGCAGTTGTGTTTGTACTCACTGTGTGAAGTGGTTTTATTTAAGTACATTATTCAACGCAGATGTCCAAAGGGCCCCTACACTACAAATCTGGCGCCTGATGTCTGCGTATGACTAGAACAAGTCACAGACAACACTAACACTATTTATTCAAGATAAGCTGAGCTGCTAAGTGAAACAAACTCACTCCATTGGAACAAAATCTCCCAGTTCAAATGACAGCTGATGGAAGTTAGATATAATTGACCTATACTCTGACTTTCATCCAAATTAAGTTTTGCGATTATTAATGGCCAATGAAAAGTAACTAAAATGTAAATAAAGGATATACATTATTAATAAATCAGACCAGAAAGTGACGTTTATTCAGATAACCACAGGTAAAATGTG